TTACCGGAATGCCCAAGCGGCACTGGGGGGAGGGAGCAATATACAGGGTGTTTTATAAAGACGTGCCAATATGCCTAAGGTAGAAAGTACATCAAAAAATAACAAGACAAGTTCTTATGATTATGGGTCCAAACATGCTCCTCTACCGAAGTAAAGGGTGATGCAGTTTTTACAATACTTAAAAAAATATCTGCGGAGCGAGAAAAGATTCTTAGTTAGGATTTTGGATGTTCGGTGATTACATCATCAGCTTGCTATTGAGAGGCATGTACACAGGACTGTTTCGGTAATGGTTTGAAGGGCTATTGACTATGGTAGTCGATGACCCCTTCTCTTTGTTCAAAGCAATATGACTGCTGCGTGTTATGTTGATGATGTCCTACAAACCACTTGACTGCCATATCTAGAGGGCCGTCCACACGTCCTTCTTCCGCAAGACAACTCACGACCCCATATTGCTCGTCGTACTACGTTTCTTCTTCAAGAAGCAAGCGTTCACCGGCTTTAAATCTCATCAACCATGTGTGGGATATGACGGGGAGGAGACCATCCACTTTGCATCATCCGCCACAGACACTGCCACAGCTAATCTACGAAGTTCGAATTGCTTGGAATGAGGTACCACAACCAGACATCGATAATCTCATTTTGTCGATGACTAGACGTATAGAGGAGTGTATTCAGCTGCAGGGTTACCCAACACATTTTTTTTTCGTTCTTATTGTCAATAAAATTTCGTAAGAATGTTATTGTTTCTTGATGTAAGACTACCAGACTGCCAAAAAATCAAGTTGAAATTATTTATTCTGTGTGTAACACTTCTTATGTCACTGAGTATATGTTGTATGCCACTGGACTTCTCGAAGAAAAGAAGTACAGTTTATAACATACCGTTCAATTTCTCTTGAATTTTGTGTCGTAAAGAATTTTTGCCAGATCGCTGGATCTGGATATGTATTTAGGTTTAAATATTTGAGGTAAAATCCTAAAATATTCTTATGAAAAGCCTATCCTCCCCTATTCTGAAAACATCATGCAACTTCATATTAGAAACATGTGAAGAAAGCTATGATACATCGTTACAAAATTAATTGAAAAATTTGCGTGTCTTATCCTCTCAGTAGCGTAGAAGCTTACAATTCATTAAACCTTTTCTATGCATGCCACTGCTTTTCAAGGTATACCTTTCCTGGTATCACCAATGTTAGATTCTTCTGATTGTCTAAAATCACAACTAGTAATTGTGGGACCAATCAGTTTGAGTAAATTCTTTTTACTATACTTCTGAAATTATCGGCTATTTTTCTCAAAATTCTTTCGTATTTTGGTTTAAGTGAGTAGACATCAGAAATCGCTAGCAACCTAAATAAAATGAGCACACCAATTTCTGTGGGAAAATTTTTTATTCGACAAGAATGAGAAAACGTCCTTTTTGGGATTCAATCGAAGGTGTCGACAGGAGTTGAAAAACTCTTCAAATAAGATTTTTAGGTTCTAAATGAGACCACACGTAAAAAGATCCGACTAACTGCAAAAATGTTTTGGCCGAAAAACGAGGCAAAAAGCAGGTTTTGGCACTTGTTGGTAATGCGACTATAATTTCAGACAACTACTTGAAATTCTTCAAATCTGAGGATTCATGCTTCTAAATTACAACAACACAATTGGAGTATATTGGTCAAGTAGTTTTTGAGAATTTCCAATTATTTAACCCAAAAACACCTGTTTTCCGGCCGTCACTACTAGTTTATTGAGCAATATACAGGGTTCGTGCAAAGAGCATTGACTAGCAAAAAACACGTGTTCACCTTGCCGATATAAATCGCAAACCATTCCGAAGAATGCATGTTATTTTTATGCGAAAAACAAGGGTTACGTTTTTTCTTCTAAACAAATTCAAGCATTTCGTATTTCTAAGTAATTGAACGAATGCGCTACGATATTAGAAAAACATACGCTACTATATACATTTTAAAACAAAGCGGATGTGTCTATCATCTTTTGTTGGGAATTACTCACAAATACGAAATGTTTGAATTTGTTTAGAAGAAAAAACGTAACCATTCCTTTTTGCATAAAAATAGCATTTATCTTCCGGAAGGGTTTGCGAAGGTAAACTAGTATATTTTGCTATAAAATGCCCTTTGAACTATACTAAGTGACATATAAATCCGAACACCCAGTTTAAATGCTTTTATTTTAATAAAAGTTGGTGAATGTATTTATCTTACTGTAAATAACAAGTGAAAAAATTGTTAGATGGACATTCCGGCTTTTATACTGCTTTTTTTTAATTCACTAACGCTCTAAAAATGAATATTTCAGCCGCAGTAAAGAATCAACGTTGGCGGATTTTGGTACTTGACATCCTTTACGATCGGTTACGATGCCTAGATGCCTAGAGTACGGAGACCTGTACGATTTCGTCAACTTAGTGAGTTTGATAGGGGCCGTATAGTGGGACTTCGGGAAGCTGGACTTTCTTTTCGGGCAATTGCAGTTAGAGTGCAAAGAAGTGTAGACACTGTGGTTAGGTGTTGTCAGGCATGGCTTCGAGAAGGCCGTAAGCAAAGAGCAAGGGGCACTGGACGCCGCCGTAGAACAACAGACCGTGAAGATCGCCGCCTAAGATTATTGACCTTAAGGGACCGTTTCTCCACTACCAGGTCCATTGCAAATGAATGGTTTGCAGAACACGGAAGACCTATTGGCATGCGAAGTGTTTACCGACGAATGAGAAGTTTTGGCTTGTTTTCATACCGGCCACACTGGGTCCTCCCTTTAACTCGAGAACACCGACGTAATCGCCCTGAGTGGTGCAGACAACGGTCACTCTGGGATCAGGAATGGAACAGTATTGTCTTTAATGACGAGTCTCGATTTTGTTTAGGCATGCACGATGGTCGTGCCAGGGTTAGAAGGCGACGTGGTGAAAGGAGGAATCCACAGTTTTTTGTTGAAAGACATGTTCATCACACTGTTGGAGTTATGGTTTGAGGTGCTATAGCTTATGGTTCCAGGTCACCTTTAATCTTCATCAGAGGTAACATGAACGCGCAGCGTTATATCCACGAAGTTCTAGAACCCTATCTTGACACCCTGGCAGATCCAACCTTCCAACAAGATAATGCCCGACCACATGTTGCAAGAGTCACAATAGACTTCTTTCAACATAATGATGTCACATTGTTACCATGGCCACCAAGATCTCCCGACTTATCCCCAATTGAGCATGTGTGGGATATGATGGGTAGGAGATTGCTCAATTTGCAACGTCCTCCTCAAACACTAGAAGCACTTCGAGAGGAGTTGGTGGTTGCCTGGAATGAGATACCACAGGAGGACATTGACCACCTGATCAGAAGCATGCCTAGGCGCGTTGGACAATGCGTAGCACATCAGGGTGCATCCACACATTATTAAAGGTCAAGCGGCTTTAAAGCAGTGCAATCATTTTGAAATTTTTATCATTTACTTATTATGCTTCATTAAGTACTTATACAAAATTTTATTAAAATAAAACCATTTAAACTGGGTGTTCGGATTTATATGTCACTTAGTATATATATATACATATATATATATATATATAACTATCTTGTTCAATAACCTACAAGTGATGGTGGTGAAAACATGTGTTTCGGGATAAACAAATTCTCGAAAACTGCCTGACCAATCTTCTCCAATTTTGTTGTGGTTATTTAGAAGTATGAGTCCTACGAATTTGAAGAATTTCAAGTATCTGCGCATTACCAACAAGTATATTTTTGCTATTGGTCGGATCTTTTTCCGTGTAATCTCATTTTGTAGGTCTCATGCATACCTAAAAATCTGATATGAAGAGTTTTCTCGTTCCGCCAACACTCTTGATTGAATCCCAAAAAATGTGTTTTCTCATTCTTTTTTGTCCCACAAAAATTGGTGTACTCATTTTATGCGTCCATGTTTTGAATTTCGCCAGGGTATTTTCGTCTAATATGATTAGACTATAAGTTGGATAGGTCCTCATGAACTTAGAAACAACCAATTAAGATATATCAAGTGTAATGTTTATTGTTGTCATGTTGAGCTCTCATTAGCTTTATTTATTTCTGAAATAAACGTTTTCTATGTTTGCAAGTTTTTTAACTATAAACAAAAATGAATATTCTGGCAAAACCAGTGGCGGGCACATTAAAGGTTTAATGAATGACAATACATTATCCAATTGATGTTGTAATGAGGTGCCATAGCTTTCTACACATGCCATATAGCGTTTCCAATCTCAAGCTTCACGGTGTTTTCAGACTAGGAGGGGTTAAACCTTTTTATAAAAATATTTCAGAATTTTACCTCAAATATTCAAACCTAAACATCTCTCAAACGAGTGATCTGTCAAAAACTCCTTGAGAGACAGAATTTATGGAAAATTGAATGGTATTTTATAGAATGCACTTAGGAAGTATTTGCTATTGAGGATCCAGGTACCCGAGTTCCTACGTCCCTGGCCCAGAAACTTTGTGAGTTCACTACTTTATGAAGTGCTCACTAAACGTCTGAAGTCTTAGCTTGGTATCTTCACCCACTCCGTAGATATACCTTTTTTCAATTTAGTAAATACTTTCCAAGATATGTAACACCCGTGCCACTCAAAAAAGTAAATAGGTGGTAGGGGGCTTTTTGGGAAGCAGTATATAAACGACTGTATAATTAAATAAAGTAATTCATTACATTAATGGCTTTAGTGAACTTCTACTGAAAATTTTATCAACTTATTTCGATTAAAAAATTGATTAGCTATGACAAATAAAATTCCACAATGACAGCGTTCATAAAATCGATATTGTCAGTTAATTTCAACCAATTCTTCCAGATGGCTTAAAGCGAATGGTAGCGATAAAAACCAGCCAACAATGGCGGTCCATTGAAAGTATCGGAGCTTAATGTTTCTTGATTGTAGCTGTCGGCAGTCAGGCTCCAATGAAAAACTCATCGGCATCTAAAACACGTACGTGATATTTGTCCGATTTTATTGGAGTTTCGTGCATTTGTAGCTAGATAGAATTGGACTTTTTTGCTACTGGCTATACATGGCTCTAATAAGAGGTTTTCTATTTTTTAGCTCAAGCGCTGGCGATATTTCTCGTGACTTTCTGTGAACGAATAAATAAAATAGACAGCTTTTATGGTACAAGGCATGAAATATGGCGTTTGTCGGTTCGGATTATTTACGCTCAGCCACTATTAGCTATTTAGTCAGTGGTGGATTTTGAGGGGAGGCGAGAGTCTCGCTGTCCACTAGACGTCCAAGTCTACCATTTCTATTAAGAAAATTTAGCCAACCAAACCTGAACCGTGTGCCACTACCCCTCTCTGCCTAGCTGAATCCCTCCTCTTGCTCTCAATTGTTGCTGCGCCACCCATAGACAGATTTCTAAGTCCACATTTGTATTTACGGGGGTAATCGTAGAGATCAATAATATTTCCTAAAAGAACAAACTCATGTTAGGAAAAGTAAAATTCATTTCTCAAAGCATTGTCTAATTTTAAATAGAAGGTCGGCATTAGGACACGTTGCGCATTGTATCCCAGAATTCTAAAATCAAGACACGACGTGTTCTACTTACTTGGATAAAAACTATCTTTTGTTGTAATAGAAGGCAAAAATATGCTCACGTTGTGTATACCATTTGATTTTCCCTCGCTCTCGAGATCTATGGGCCCAACACAAACTCAAATTGTATACAGGGAGTCTGCGAAAGATTGGGAAATCTCGAAGCTGGAGATACTACAGACCAAAATATGTGAATTGACCTAAACATACCTCAATCCAAAGCTTGATAGTTTTCGAGATACTTGGTGTCAAAGTTATAATTTTATTTTCTATGTTTCCTTATTGCTTGAGAAGTATTTCAGATTTTGACATAAAACTCGGTATAGTATGAGAAACAAGAATCTGCAATTTTTTATGCCCAAACTTCTAGAGAGCGCCACTTACAGCAGTATTTCGGTAAATAACTTATCATAACTTTTTTGGGCCACCCTGTATACAACAACAGACTAAAAAATCTTATTTTCTCGTATTTCCACAACAAAGAAAGTTTACTTGTTAGTAGTGTCTAAAGAAGAAGTAGTTTTCGAGATATTTGTTTTTAAAAGTTCCAATGCATTAATTTGTACCATGATGATAAAACATTTTTATAACATAATAATCAAGTTGCTTTTTAACAATAACAATTGAGGATGGTAACAAAACTAATGTACAAACAAATAATGCATTGAAGCTTTTAAAAACAAATATCTCGTTAAGTATTAAATTTAGACACTTCTAACAAGTGAACCTTTTTTGTTATGATAATACAAGAAAATAAGATTTTTTGGTCAGTTGTTGTATACAGACAAAAAAGTTATGATAAGTTACTTACCGAAATAATGCTGTAAGTGGCACCCTGTAGAAATTTAGCCATACAGGATAACGGATTCTTGTTTCTCATACTAGGAAACCTCTCTATACCGAGTTTTATGCCAAAATCTGGAATACTTCTCAAGCAATAAGAAAAAATAGGAAATAAAATTGTAAGTTAGTATCTCTGTATCTCGCAAACTATCACCTTTTGGACAAAGGTATGTTTTGGTCAATTCACATATTTTTGTCTGTAGTATCTCCAGTTTCGAGATTTCCCAACCTTATGCCACTGACCCTTACTACTGCCACAGTCCGCATTTCGCCAGCATGGTTTGTCGATTGTAGAATATGGAGAATACTTTTGTAACACGATGTGATGAAAGAAATATGACCGAGTATAAAGGTCGCACTTAGCTGCTTATCTACGCGACAATGGGTATGCGTATGCATAGGCTCAGAGGAATTTGATCACTGACTCCGATATGCAAGACGGATATGCTGTTCATAAGCCGGATGGATCAGCAGAGCGAGTGCCATCTCTGGAACAGTATCGCTATCTCAAAGTAGACACTTCTTTCCATTTATTTTTTCCATATCACACGATGTGGCTACTGAGCAAAAATGGAAGGAAGATCAAAATTATAACACATGAGAAACATGTCTAGGACAATGAGCTACAGAAAATATTTTTAATCGGAGCTACCTAAAATGCTTACCCCAAAGACGACATGGAGGTAATGAATTAGCAGGCAATATGGATTTAGCAAAAGAGCTAATACAGTCTATCCCGTACTATTGAGTTATAAGGATCTGACCATCGGTTTGGCGGCGTCGCCAATTTGAAGACGTAGGCACACCATCGCCTATGTGACGTCTGGTGACCCCTGTTGGCGGCTTTGAGACTCCAATAACGCCACCAGGTTGCTAGAGAAGCGTTTTAAAATACTTATCAATGAGCTACGTCAGTGAGACTTTTTTGAGTAGTTAATTAAATCTAACAACATATAAATAATAATGTCTAATATAAAATGAGTAAAGCGTGTCGGCTGATGGCATCACGAAATTTGAATACTGACATATTTATATGTAGTCTCCCTCTTTTAAGAAAAGTATGCTCCGGTCTCTATCAGAGATGGACAGATGCCCAAAGTTTATCCTTTTTGTTATTTTTTTCACAATAATTCCCTGTTATGAAATGACTGAAGGTTATCAACTGTCACTGTCACCTGGAAATGAATTAAAAAAAAAAGGAATAAGCACTCAGAAACTATTATAAAAATATGTCTGCGACTTTTGTCAACGAATTTTGCTCCTCAGGAATGCCGGTGCGCGATGAGCCTGCCAGATAGACTCGCCAGACTTTGGCCTTCCATCCTAACCGTGTCGAACTTCGTGCAATCAGAACTGACCGTACGACCGCTCCTTTGTCCCTGGGGTGTCGAGATTGTTAAAAAATCTGTCGCAGAAGGCTTTTCCGAGTTGCACTAACCAGTGCCACGGTATTTAAGCTTCTACCTACGCGGCCGCTTCGGTATAACAATGGCTTCATGACCAGACGAATTCGGAGCTTTCTTTCTGTTAAAAAAATAAGCAAGGCCATACATTCTGTCAAATCACCTACAAAAATAGGGAAACTTTTGCTTCACATTTTTTTACATGACAACACTGGCTCGGTGCAGTTTGTTCAGCAGTGTGTATTTTGATAAAGTACAGCACGTGGCTTGAGACAGGCGACGATTTTCGCTGCTGTTTCCCTGTTAATATAATTTGTCGTGCCTCTGTCACCCCTATAATAACAGAATTGGGATATTAGTCAACAAAGTGACTGAAATTTGCATAGGAATTCTTACGTCTAGATCAAGTACGATCTTAAATACTTGATAAGCAACAGCTTATCTGCGATTCTATCAAATTTCCTGCAAATTTACCGTCAGTCTTTTTCGTTAACTTCCACCTGATAAGATCTCAAAAGCAAAGTCAGTAACTGTAAAAATCTTCGAACGACAAAGCAATTATCACAAAGGAATAGCCAAAAGAAAAACGAAAGAAATTAGCGGAGATTTCTCTGTTTGCCTTTTTAACACGCAAGTACCTATAGCTAGATCCATGAGCACACAGGCATAAAAAAAATTCAAGGTAGGCATTTGAAACACTAGGGTCTCTTTCTTAAGTAACATATTTCGAGAAGTCTAAGGTATGGTGAAAGTGCTACAATCATCACTTGTATGACTCTTAAAATAACAACTTGATTAACTTAGTTAGTCTACATAAAGATAGCCAACCTAATGTCACTGCTCTTTCTCTACTTACTATACTTTGAAAAGGTTACTGCCTCATAAATGAGTACTTCTTAGGTCTAAAAAAATATCCTAGCATTTCCTATTGACGAGATTGGTTCGTGCCGAATCAAGTCCTCGGTGATCTGGACTCCGACCAGGCAGAACTCGGCTATCCATCGTGACCGGATGAGCGCTAGGACCTTTTTGTTCGTCAAGGTAGTCGTTTTTCCAGCTCACCGGCAGAGATCAGCTTGTGGCTCTGACTTCCTGCATGTAGAGTGCTGTCATTAGCAAAGCTGTGGATTGGGTTGATCGTATGCGAATTGAGGTCGCTGATATGTAAAAAAACAGTATCGGAGCCAAGACCGATCCCTGGGGAACGCCAGATAGAATCAGCGACCAATATGCAAAGCTGCTCTGAGAGACCATAGGATGGAGTGTGCATAAGAGGGCCGCGTGCCACAGCTGAACGAACGTGATATCAAGAGCAATGACATGAACCTTACCACAATAAAAGTTACTCCACAATTGCGTGCTAGGACGTTCCCTTTAGATCGCTGGTGCCGGTAACCATACGATACTGCCTGCCGCTAATTATGCTGAGACGGGAAGAAAACATTTATTCATCACTAGTCAATGGTGATTTGTAAGTGGAATGCAGGGATGTAAAGTGTTAGTATTGGAACAAAGCTCTGTAATCTCTGTATCTTGCTTGAGAAGACTATCTGTTATTGATCTGGTACATTATATGTAGATGTTCGACTATCGGTGGTCCACCTCACACCCTAGGTATGTGATGTACGATTTATTGCTTACTTTACTTAATAACCATATTATTTCATTCCTTGTAGCTTTGTTGAGCAAGATAATCATACGTTGTGAGAGATAGGTAGTCCGAGCGTTTATACAACTCTGTATATCTCTAAATTCAAGGGAATTGCGCACATTTTCAATTTAAAAAGTTTCCGCTCTGGTTTCGGCTGAAACTAGGATAGAAGGCGATTGTTTCTTTTTGGTTTCGCTTTCGGCTACTAATCCAGTTTCTGTAGGTACCGAGTCTGACACTTTCCCTCTTTTCTTTGTGAGATGCCGTGAAATTTAGCTCGTCTCCCCCCGGCTTTACTGCCACATGAGATTAATAAAAAATTTTATGTTTACTGTAAATGCGTTGCGCAGAACATCAAATAAAAACACGAAGTTTATAAACATGAAAACGAATTAAAATAACAAATTAACAAATTAAAATTGAACAATACGTTAAAACAATTAAAAAAGACTGTCACTCATTGAAAACTCTATAGAGTAGAAAGCTTTATCAAGTAAAATTTGCCTGATTCTTTTTTTAAATAATAGCGGTAGTGATTTACAATCAATGGGTAGTTTGTTGAAGAGTTTTATTCCCATGTATTTGGCACTCTCCTCCGTTCTAGACAACCTATGTGCCGGCAGCTCCAATACTTCTCTGTTTCTGGTATTATAAATTCCAGAATTTGTAGAACTAAAATTGTTCAGGTGAGTTTTGACGTAAATCAATATATTCAATATATATACTGAAGGCAGCGTCAAAATCTTCAAAGCTGTGAATAGTTCCCTGCAACTAAAGCGCCTTCCCACCTTTGCAATAGTTCTAATAGCTCTTTTTTGTAATATAAGAAGCCTCTGTAACTTGGAGGATGCTCCTCACGCTTCTATTCCATAAGTCAGAGTAGAATGGATATGTGCATGGTAAAACATTAACAATATCCACTTATCAACGATAAAACTCAGCTGATACATGCAGTAGCAAAGAGAGGTAATCTTTTGACTAACTTTCTCTATATGCGTATCCCATTTGCATTTTTGCGATATGTGAATTCCTAAAAATTTTATAGTTTCTGCTTGTTCCATGGATATACCGCTTGATTTTATAAGGAGACTACGATCCATGTGCATATTAGAGTAAAAGAGGTAAAAGAAACTAAATTTCGTGCATTCACAATTGCAAAAAAACGTTTCAGGTTTCAACAGACAACAAAACTAACTGTCAACTAATTGACGTTTAACCGTATTCTGCTTTCAATTTCAAAAATATTTGCAGGCACAGCCTACTTCTAAAAATTATCGAGATACTGACTTTTTAACGTATTTTATCATAAATAATTAAAAATGCATCGAACCTTAAAAATCGAAAACGGCTAACTATAACGAAAATTCACAAGAGAGCTTTTTTATGTTGAAAAGTGCGAAGAATCAGTTTTGTTATTCAAAAATCAAAAAATTGCACTAAGAAAAAATTTTCGGTCATTTTAATACACTACAGGTACAGTAGAGAGCGCCCTCTAGTGGCTACAGTAAAACTATGCCCATGGTTCGTTTTGTCGTACCAAAAAAACCTTGTACACCAATTTTCACTGTTATACATCAAATATTGTTCGAAATATTTAAAAAAAAACTATTTTAGAAAGTAAACTTAAACACCCTGTATTTCGGAAGCCACGCATTTTTCGACCCATGTTTATATAAACTTTATGCATTAATTTTAAAAGTTCTATCGAATCTTAAAGTTATGCAACAATAAACTGAAACACCCTGTATATCCAAGAATAGTATGACGAAGTAATAACTTATAGAGTATGCATTATTATAATTGGTGCAACCCTTCCATTAGGATCAATCTCGTGATAAGCATTCTGGTAAATAAGAAAACACAATGTTCATAAATATCTGCCATTGAGATAAAATTTATTCCCGGATATCCTTAAAATTTCACCTTAACCAGTGATAAATGAGCCGCTCAGTTAAGGCGGACTAATTCAAGAAAACACGTGCTTCCCCAGTATACAGACTACCAATGATAGGGTCACTCCAATGTTAAACTACGTAGTTAGTTACGATATGTCGCCAGAAATACTTCTTCTTCTGGTGCCATGTGCAATGCTGCACGATGGCGATCAATTGGCCATTTTTCTTCAAATGCTACAGAATGACCAGGGTCCCTTCATTCCACACCAGTTTCTCATAATCCTCAATCATAACTGTTATTTATTGCCAGGACCGCGCTTGTAGAACTAATTTAGGTATCGGGTAATGGAATCTTCTTGATTTATGTCCCAAGTAGGAAACTTTACGTTGTTTTACAGTTTCCACCATATCTTCTTAACACTTATTCGTTTGTGATGTGAGCTGTCCAGGGGATACAAAATAGTCGATAAAATGTCCATAATCCAAAAGCCTCGAACCTTTTCATAGTTCTTCCCTTAAGTAT